GGCCCTCCACAGGGGCTCTGCAAAGTCCACCACATCATCCTGGGCTGGGCCTAGGCCCTACCCCATGTGTTCAGGCCAAGAGTGCATCCCTTCATGTGAGATGGGCTCTCAAAGTCCCTTCTTACACCAGGGAAAAATACTAATCCACTACCAGGGGCCCCCATAGTGTGGAGGCCTCCTCATTGACATCCATGTTCAGGGGTCTGATTCAGTCCTGTGCTGGCCTCCCAGACATCAGTCTGGGGTGATCAAAGCAGTTTTAAAAGAGAGTGTACACTTGGGCATGGTGGCACATGCTTTTAAATCTAGCACTCAGGAGGCAGAGGAAGGTGATCTTTGTGAATCCAAGGCTAGCCTGGTCTACACAGAGAGTTCCGGGACAGCCACAGCTACATAGAGAAACCTGCTTTTAAAAAAAGTTAAAGAAATTAATGGAGGCCACATAGCTCCTTGTATATAGATCCTAAAGTTCTAGGTAGAGTCAATAGGGGCAGAGAGTAAAGTTCTCATCCATTTACTTTCTCATTCAAAAAACAAAACAAAACAAAACAAAACAATTGAGCACCCAGCCTTGTGCTGTAGCAAGTTACTACAATAATAAGTATAACATTCTGTTACAAAGAAGTGAGCACAAATCAGGAGATTTTTTTTTTATACCACTAATTATTTTGATGTATCAGAGGAATTTACATAACAAGTTAGAGAAATCAGGAGATTTCTAAGGAATTGTGGGTGAGAGTAGACTCAAGAAAGCATGGCAAGCATTCTGGTTATACTTCTGATGTGGCTGTATCTGATAAGGATGTGTATGTTGTCTGTGTGACTGATGTCAGTATGTTGGTTGTATGTGTAATATGAATGTGTATGTAGTATGTATAGCTGTTTTCTGTGTTTGGTGTGAGTATGGCTGTGTGTCATATAAGAATGTAGCTATGTATGTATGTATGAGTCTGTGTGACGCAGAAGTTGGCACTGATCTGTCATGACAGACAGAGCTCACGTCCTATAGTAGGTCTTGTTAACCAGTTGGTAGACTATGGTAAGGTATAGAGAGGAATGGGTTAGCAGAGCAGTAAGACTATTCGGAGTTGGGCCTTGTAAGTAACAACTTCTAGTTATTTATGTTCATTTCAGAACCAGTGAATCGATGGCTACTTGACAGGAAGAAATTTATCTCTAAATGAAAGTACCTTACTTAACACATAAATTTAGTCTAGAGTGCCGTTGTTTAATGGTGTTAAGAAGAGTGACATTCAGATTGTACAGAATACATCTGTTAGCTGTGGGTGGCCTTAAATATCTGTGAAAGTTTGTCACTTGAAAGTTAGGAAGTAAATAAAGGCATTTACAAGCATTCCGGTTAGTTGAGGTTATTCTTGGGGGAAGTATGTATCGCTTCAACCGGAATGCAAGATTCTCTGTGGTCTGATGGCTTGACCCAAGGAATAAAGGTGTTGAACATTTGTGTTCATTCTCAGGCTTCAGAGATGGGCAGTGAGAAGGAGCAGAGTCCAGAAGCACACCTGCCTGAGGAAGGGGAAGCAGGGAAGCCTTGGAGAGTGGATGGCTCAGAGGGTTCTCAGATTGCATATGGGGAGGAACATGGGCAGACAAGCCTGTCGAAGGGGCTTCAAGGAACACACCCCAAAACGCCATGTCAGAAAGTCACTGCCCGAGCTGGGGGCCCTGGGAAGCCCATTGCCTTTTCAAGCCCAGAGGCGGATGAGAAGCCTTTTATATGTGTGCAGTGTGGCAAAACCTTCAACAATACCTCCAACCTCAGAACACACCAGCGGATCCACACTGGTGAGAAGCCATACAAGTGTTCAGAGTGTGGCAAGAGCTTTTCTCGAAGCTCCAACCGCATCCGGCACGAGAGGATCCACCTGGAAGAGAAACACTACCAATGTGCCAAGTGTCAGGAGAGTTTCCGGCGGCGCTCAGACCTCACTACACACCAGCAAGATCACCTGGGACAGCGGCCATACCGCTGTGACATTTGTGGCAAGAGCTTCAGCCAGAGTGCCACGCTGGCTGTCCATCATCGAACCCACCTGGAACCAGCGCCTTACATCTGCTGTGAGTGTGGGAAGAGCTTCAGCAATAGCTCCAGCTTTGGGGTGCACCACCGTACCCACACGGGTGAGAGGCCTTATGAGTGCACCGAGTGTGGGCGGACTTTCAGTGATATCTCCAATTTTGGTGCACACCAGAGAACACACAGAGGGGAGAAGCCATATCGGTGCACTCTGTGTGGGAAACACTTCTCCCGAAGTTCGAACCTCATCCGACACCAGAAAACACACTTGGGTGAGCAGGATGAGAAAGATTCTAGCTAAAGGGGAACCCTGCTTAGAGAGTGAGGGAGAGCATATAGTCCACCTTGACAGAAGGAGGCATTTAGCACCTGCTGCAGCCACCTTGACTGCAAACCCTTCACTTTGTAGAATGGTCCCTTGTTGCCTTTGAAATCAGGAAATCCTGCCTCCTCCCAGGCAGTTTCTTGCCTTGGAAAATCAGAGTGCCCAGTCTTCACCTCACTTCCTCAGGGGTAGAGAAAGTGGGATACGCTCAGGACATGCTCTTGTCATTGGGGCATCAGTCCCCTGGCTTTTTGGGAAGTGCCTGAGATGGCGTCACTGTCTGCAGGCCCTCCAAAGCCATCTAACTTCAGATACACTGCTGTGGCCTGTGAGTTTCTACCTGCTGTACCTCATCCCATATCAACTTGTAGAGTCCTAGGCTGGGGGGTGTGGCCCTCCTATTGAAGGGGCTTGTGGTCCTTCAGTAAGAATGGATAGGAAGCCTCAGGGATCCATAATCCAGGGACCCTCACATTCCCCATGTTTGTTACCTGTCTTCCTACCCCAACTTGCATCTGTCTCCTCAATGATCACCAGTAAAACACTTCAATGAGAAGAACCTGTGTGCTTATTTGGAGATGTGGGGATCTGGGGGGATTGTTCAGGGCAGCCTTTCTGCAAAGGAGTTGAATTCAGAGACAGATGGTGGCTCCTCTGAAATGAGAAGGACAGCAGGCTGAGCCTCTGGAACTTTAAAGAGGAGGGGAGAGGAAATGAGTCAGTTGAACATCCACTATTGGCTGTTGGTTGTACCTGCTGTTCTTTATCTCATTTGGTTGCCACAGAAACCCTCAAGGGCAGAAGATGAAACAATCAAAAGTGAGGTTACTAGGTGTGTGTGTGGTGGTGGGCCAGTGTAGACCCTGACCTCTAGCTAATCCATGTGCTTTTCACATGTGCATTGTTGGCTGCAGAGGGACGCTGGCCTAGAATGTTAGTGTGGCCTCTTGATACAGTCTTGACCTCTTAGATCTTGGAAATCAGTATCAAAATGAGGACCTTTCAAACTTCAGATTATTGATTGAGCACTTTTGTGGCTAGGAAGAATGACAGTGGCAGGGAGTAGGGGATTGGGGATATGGTAATGTGAAAATTCTTAAAACCCAGGATGACAGTGTGCCATTAATGTCAGATTCAACCCTACCTAGAGCTTGGACAGTAAGTTGCCTGGTTTCCTGTGCTCTGATTTAGGCCTGATGTCATATGGCAGTTTCTCACATGGAAGTTTAGTGTTCACCCAGCTTTCCTTTATCAAATACAAACACCCATTCATATCTCTTTTGTTAATCTGGGGTCCTGCCTTCAGGATTAGGAGTGCTCTTCGTTTGGGTCCTATTACCAGAATGTGATTCTGGTACCAGAATTGGTATTGGTATGGCCTATGACTTAATCTAACAGATGGGGACTCTGCCACTCAGCCTTTCTGGGATATACCAGGAACTTTACACTCAGATGAAGGCACCCTGGGAGGAAAGAAATATATCCACGTTTCACAAAATGGAAACAGGTTGCCAGGGACAGTGGCTTGTCCAAGACAATGACCACAGATTGAATCTACTGCCCAGTGCTTATAAATTTGATTAAAACCATAGAAGATTGGGCTGGCAAGATGGCTCAGTGAGAATTGCTTGCTCCCAAGCTCGGTGACCTGAATTTGATCCCCACGACACACAAGTTGGAAGGAGAAAGCTGATTCCTGTAAGTTACTTTCTAACCTCATTTGTACCATGGCACACGTGTATACACACACACACACACACACACACACACACACACACACAAAGTAAATGTAATTTAGTACATTTAAAATGTAGACTTCTCAAATGGTTCCCTTACCTTTAAAGAGCACTTTATACAGTTTGCAAAGCACTTATGTTTCATACACCTTTCTTCCCTATTTCTCCTTTTTCCTTCCTCTTCTCCCTCCCACTTCTCTTCTTGAACTGTGTTTCCAAGCTTACCCTAATTTAATACATGAAACCCAGCGTATGCATATGCCTTTACTCCCAGGATGTGAGAGGCAGGGGCAGGTAGATCTCTATGGGTTCAAAATCAGCCTGATCTACATATTGAGTTCCAGGACAACCAGAGCTACACAGTGAGACCCTGTCTCAAGAAACAATACAATACAAAACAAACAAACACAAAAAACCTTAGGCATGTAATTCGGCATAATATGAATGTCTATTGGCCCCTGAGCACATGGAAGCATGCTGCTGTAGTGCTAGAGTGCCTGCAGTACTGAAGTTGACACCAGAGGGCGGAAGAGATTATATACTCCTAATGCTAATGAGAAAAAATACCTCCATCCAGAAGTGGTGGTACATGCTTTTAGTTCCAGCACTTAGGGACAAAGGTAGGAACATCTTCGAATTTGAGGCCAGCCTGGTACACATAGTGAGTTCCAGGACAGCCAGGGCTATGTAGAGAGAACCTGTCTCAAAAAAAAAAAAAAGTGACATCTCCAAAGCATTGGAAGACCCCCCACACACACACCCCAGAATGTAGCTGGGGTGATTATTGAAAGTGTTTCCCAGTATGAATGCAATTCACTAGAATGAGAAAAAAATGATGCAGGCAGAATTTGAGGGCCTCAGCAGAGAGGAGCTTTAGAGAGCAAAACATTCTAAAGTGGAAAATTAAAATAATTGAAAAACACACTAGAGCAGTGGTTCTCAGCCTGTGGGGCGTGAACCCTTTAGGGGCCAAATGGCCCTTTCCCAGGGCTTGCACAGGGCTTGCATATCAGATGTCCTGCATATCATATACTTACATTACGATTTGTAACAGTAGCAAAATGAAAGCTATCAAGCAGTAATGAAATAATTTTATGGTTGGAGGTCACCACAAAATGAGGAACTGTAAAAGGGTCGAAGCATTAGGAAGGTTGAAAATCACTGCACTAGAGGATTTCAATAAGAGACTTGAGTGAGCAAAAGAATTTGCATGGGCCAGAGGGATGGTTCAATGAGTGAAGTATTTGCTGCACACACCTGAGATCCCCAGCTCCACAGTAAAACAAGAGTCCTGAAAGATACCCTCTGCAGCTGGGGAGTGGCTCAGTGGTTAAGAGCGCTTATTGCCCTAGTCATAGGATCTGGATTTGGTTCTCAGCTCCCATACCAGGTGGCTCACGACCACCAGCTCCAGGGAATTCCAGAAGACTCTGGCCTCTATAGGCACCTGTACACACATGGGACACACAAACTCATGTAGGCACACGTATTTATTTAAAAATTAATATTAAGTCTGGGCATAGTGGTCCTTGCCTTTAATCACAGTACAGGGAAGGTAGAGACAGGCAGATCTCTGTGAGTTCAAGGCCAGCCTGGTCTATACAGTAAGTTCCAAGACAGCCAGGGCTACATAGTGAGACCCTGTCTTGAAAAAAATTTACAAAAAGAAAGTTATAGCCAGGCATAGTGGCACATGCTTTTAATTCCAGCACTTGGGAAGCAGAGGCAGTCTATCTTTGTGAGTTCAAGACCAGCCTAACATACATATTGAGTTCTAGGACAGCTAGAGCTACATAGTGAGATCCTGTCTTTAAAAAACAAACAAACAAACAAAAAACACAATCAGAAATAAAGAAAGCTGCCTCTTTACAGATGTGTGTCACATCCCATTTTTAAGAATGAGATTTTAAAATGTTCTTTTTTTGGAAAAAATGTTTTTTAAATTATTATGTGTATGCATGATGTGCATGTGGGGGAGGGGTGGATGGGATGCGTGTGCCACAGTGCACACATGGCAGCCAGAAGGAAACTGCAGAATCAGTTCTCCCTCCTTTACATGGACCTGAGCTGGTGGGGTTGGACTCAGGTTGCCAGGCTTTTGAGACAAGTGCCTTTACCCACTGAGCATCTCACCAGCCCAAATGATATTAAAAGAGAAAGAATAATCAAACTCAGAGCCAAGTGGGTAATTTGAAATTGCCAGATCATAGAAACAAAAATGAAGAGCAGGGCGTGTGGTGTGTACCTGTAATCCCAGCACTAGGGAAGCTAGAAGCAAGGGGTTCCCTGAAGTTACAGGCCAGCCCGAGCTATATATTGAGTTTCAGGTCAGCCTTGGCTACCTAGTGAAACCTGGTCTCAAGAAACATAAAAATGAAAAAAAGTGATAGAATCCTAAGGGACTTACAGGACACCATCAAGTAGATTGATACATTCTGGGAGTTTCATGAAGAGGAAAATGGAGGTGGGAGGGACAGAGAGCATATTTCAAGAAATAATCACTGAAAACTTCCCATTTCCATCTGAGGATAGAAATGAATAACCATGCTCAAAAGGTTCAGAGAATTCCGACTGAGATGAGCCAAAGACACCCATGCTAAGAAATACTATAGACCAGACATCATAAAGAAAAGTAAATTGTTACACACAAGGGATCTCCTGAAATATTATGAAGGAATTTCTCAACAGAAATCTGACTGGCAAGAAGACAATGCATGGCATACTTAAAATGCTGCCAGGAAAAAGAAAAAAAAAATACAGCCAAACAAAATACTGCATCTGTCAAAAGTGTCCTTCAAAAAAATGGAGGAGGAATTAAGACTTTCCAAGATAAAAACTGAGGGAGTTCATTACTAGAAGTAATGACAAGAAGTGCTTCCTGCCTTGATGATGCTTGCTTGCAATCCCAGCAACTCAGTAGGTATCAGGAAAGGCCAGCCTGGGTTACAGAGTGAGACCCTGTCAAACAAAAACATCAGGGTAGGGTGGCACACACCTTTAAATCTAGCACCTGGAGGCACAAGCAGGTGGGTCTCTGTGAGGTCAAGGCCAGCAAGGGCTACATAAGGAAACTGTCTCAAGAACAAAACAACACAAAAACAAGAAAAAGAAAGCTAAAGGAAGTTCTTGGGTTCAAGTAGGGATACTCAAGTTCAGACTAACAACAAAAAGCATAGGAAAGCGGTTGGGGATTTAGTTTTGTGATGCCCAAAAGCCCCAAATCCAGTAACTAGCACTGAATGGGGAAAAAAAACCATATAAAATATAAATACCACTGGTGAGTTCAGAATTATAGACAAATACAGATACATACAAATAAAGACAAGTATACTGCAATATAGTGCTATATAAATTACTCATTTTTTTTCAGTACTAAGGATTGAATTCAAGGCCTCTTACATGCCAGGAGAGCACTTCATTGGCCCTATGAATTATTAATTCTGGTATGGAATTAATTTATTTAAATATTTTTTTTCTTTTTGAGACAGCATCTCATGCAGCCCAGGCTGACCTCAAACTCACTAGTAGCTGAAGATGACCTTAGATTTCTGATCCTTTTGCCTCTACCTCCTGAGTGCTGAGATTACTGGCATATGCCACTCTACCTGGTTTATGTGGTGCTGGGGATCAAACCCGGGCCTCATGCATGTCAAACACCCTATCTACCCAAGTTCTATGTAGAATTAAATATGTGTATGTCTATATATCAATATCTATATAGCTCTCTCTCTAATTCTAGCACTCAGCGGGCAGGCAGAAAGATCACTTGTGAGTTTAGGACGAGCCTCTGCTACATAGCAAGTCCCCAACTCCAAGGAAA